TCGTTGCCACGGCTACCGCGGCAGCATTTGAAGAAGCGACGAGCCAGAAGTGAGCACTGAACAGAACAATGAAGGCTACCAGGCCGGGGATGACAGAGAAGATAATAACAGTATCGCCCTTACCGCAGACATGATTCCACTGCTGTACTGCAGTTGCACGATGCCTCCCAAACACCTGATATTTGCTCAGCTTCTGATTTGAGCTTTTCTTTTCATGTCTTCTTTATTTACCTTTCCAGCCTCCCAGCTTACCTGTGCCGTTGAGATTGCCCTGCTCTCCTGGCCAGCAGCTTTCTCTTGTTGAAGCAGCTGCCTCGCTCTGTTTGCATTAAACACAGAGGAGACTCCATAAAGTGGTGACTGAATATCTTTTGTTTTATTCACCGGAGACCTTATCGAGGCAGTTAATGGGATGCCTGTAAAAGCTGTTTAGGTGTATTTGACAGCCTGGTTAAAGTGCACACTGTTAGCATTCTTTGCCCGGCGTGTGCGATTGTTTACTTACTGTTAGCGTCTCAGCTAGCCTGTGTTTGGACTGAGTCCACGCGATTCAAGGTGAGGCCGCCGAGGCTCAGTCTGCTTGTTCTCGAGGCCTTGGTGTGAGACGCTGAGCTGTTTGGCAAAGACCCCAGGCTTCAAATGCTTCTGTCTTTCTTATGCAGTGATGTGCAAAGTGGTGCCATGAGAGCTCTACTGAGGTTGAGAATCAGGCCAGCAGAGTCTTTTTAGTGAAAATGTCCTAACTGGTTGCCCGTTTCTGCCTTTTTCCTTCTTTAAGCCCAACCAATCCCGTTCCAGTGTCTTTTAGACGACTTTATTTGTCCCAGCACTTGTTGCGTGGACTTTTGTCTTCCTGACGTTTGGCTCCAAACACTGAAAAAACTGTGGCAGATCCAGTCTGGAGCAACTTAGAAGAAAGTTTCAGTCAGTGGAGACTTCTGATTCAGACGGTGATCCCTCACAAATGAAAGGAGGCAGTTTGGCACAGCGATGAGCTGATTTTGGAGAGAAAGAAGAGAAGGAGGACCGGATGCCAGCAACTGTTTGGCTTTAAAGAAAAAGGTGGAAATCAGCAATGAGGGAAAAAAGTGAGGGTCAGTTCAGGAAGCATGGAGGACTCAAAGAAAGAATTTTTTGGAGAGGCTGAGAGGAGAAAGAGGAGGGAGAGAGAGGAAAGAGGAGGTGTAACAGCTGAATGTGCCTGGCCTGTGGTCAACTCTGAATGAGGAGGAGCAACAATGGGCCCACTCTTCGTCTTTCTCCTCTTGTCCTGCTCTTCCTTGTTCTGCTAAGCAGAGAGAGAGAGGCAGAAGATGCCCAGCCCTAACCCTCACCCAACCTAACCTCACCTCACCTCACCTAACCTCACCTCACCTCACCTAACCTCACCTCACCTCACCTCACCTCACCTAACCTCACCTCACCTCACCTAACCTAACCTAACCTCACCTAACCTCACCTAACCTCACCTAACCTCACCTAACCTCACCTCACCTCACCTAACCTCACCTAACCTCACCTAACCTAACCTCACCTAACCTCACCTAACCTCACCTCACCTAACCTCACCTCACCTCACCTCACCTAACCTCACCTCACCTCACCTCACCTCACCTCACCTAACCTCACCTCACCTCACCTCACCTCACCTAACCTCACCTCACCTCACCTAACCTCACCTAACCTCACCTAACCTCACCTCACCTCACCTCACCCAGCGCAGAAGCAATCTAAACACGAAAATGTGGGATGAGGCACAGATTTTCACAAATTTCATTTGGAGACATATTTGATTCATTCTGAATTGAGTAAAGAAGGAATTTAAAACAAATTTACAATTATAGTTATTTTTTAAAACTTTGCAGTGAGTGTCTTCCTCCTGTCTCCTGACTCTGAGGACTCTAGTTGGATGGGATGCTGTGGAGCAGAGGAAGGAGGCAGGGGAGTGATTCGGGAGACATAGATGGGAGTGTGTGTGTGTGAGTGTGTGAGTGTGTGTGTGTGTGTGTGTGTGTGTGTGTGTGTGTGTGTGTGCGTGCGTGCGTGCGTGCGTGTGTGTGTGTGTGTGTGTGTGTGTGCGTGTGTGTGTGTGTGTGAGAGAGAGAATGGGGGGGCTAGCCAGGGCAGCAGCTGCTGTCTCCTCATTAACATGCGCACCTGCTCCCTGCGGCCTTTTTCCAGCGAGCTCGTGTGGCGCCTCACGGCTCCAGCACCCGCCACCGCTGGGGCTTAACTGGACTGGCCTCTGTCTCACCCCACACACACCCCCACCCCCAAATACACGCCTCATAGCAACCCACATGCCTCTACTGTCCTCCTTAGGATAGGACACAGGCCGCTGGAGATTATACGGAGGACTTTGCATCATTTTTAATGTGAAGCTGCTTCAACAAGACGTGCACGTGTAAATCTGAGTGCAGATTTTAGATTTCAGGTAAAACAGTTTTCAATAGTTAAATATAACATCTGGTTTTTTTTACACAAAAGAAAACAGAATCTTTCAACTTGATGAAGAATGGCTTTGGTCCATCATTATGAGAATGCCATATTTTCTACTTTCATCTAAATAAATGGATGTTTACCTACCGCCAGTTTCGCCATACAGACTTCTCTGATGACAGGATGAGATAATGTTGTCTTTGTGCAACTAATAATCATGAAACTGAGTTTATGGTAAATGGTAAATGGCCTGTATTTGATATAGACTTTGTTTTTTAAATCAATGGCCAATAATGGAAGGGGATGCCTTAGAACTATAATCTGCATGGTTTTCTTACATCACAGCCAGTGTTGGGAACGTTACATTAAAAAAGTAATTAGTTATAGTTACTGATTACTTTGTCAAAAAAGTAACTCAGTTACTAACTGAGTTACAAGATTATAAAAGTAACTAATTACCAAGAAAAATAACTACTTAGTTACTTTTTTCATTAAAGAATGCAAGAATTACTACAATAGTGAAATATAAATGACTAATGACTGGAACATAATAAAAGGTATGTCCAAATGTTTTTTATAAACCTGAATAATTTAAATAAATGAGCACTTAAAAGGAGGAACTACTAACAGGAACATTACACTAATCTAGACTATTAAAAGGTCACTGTGTGATATTTAACAAGACCCCAATCAACATTCATAATAGCAATCAGAAACACCTGTAAAGGTTCCCGAGCCTTTAAATGGTCTCTCAGTCTAGTTAAATTACAGAAATAAATGTAATTTTGCACAGTATTTTTAATTTTTCCAGCTTCACATGATTGTGTGTTTTTAGCAGCATTTCTGTTGCTGCTAATCTAGTAACGGTTAAATAAATAAATAAAATCCTTTAAAATGACACTAGAAGAGGCACAAGCCTGATGGAGGACTTACATTTACTAACTTGGGTCAGACCCAAACACAGAAGAGCTGAAGCTGGGTGGTAAACACACACAGGTAGTTCTGATAACACCTGAGCTCCATGACGTCTGAGACTGATGCATCAGTGTTACAGCGGGACTAAAGACATGATCAGAAACAGGTTACAGCTGGATGATCTAGGAAGGTAGAAGATCAGGACGTCTGAGCGGTGGACAGGTGAGCGGACCTTCGGGACGTCCTGCTGTCACACCAAGAAGGGCACGGCTGCAGATCCACACCTGCAGCCGTAGATATTCATCACGTCTTCCTCGTTCTTCACGGCCGTGATGCTCTTGGATGAAAACATCTGCCTCTTTAGCTGCTGATCAGCTGATGACAGCTTCAACACACCGCGCTGCTTAACGCGCGCATTTCCTGATCAGTAACAGAAACCACGTTTTGATAAAAGAAGACGGTAATTAATCAGTTTGCTCGTTACTGAAAGAAATATTTTTTTATTAACGTGATTATTTTAAACGGCGTTATTCCCATCACTGCTCTGTTGGGTCTACAGCAGCAGCGACTGAGACCGTGAGGGTCTCCGCCCACCCGGCCAATCATCATCGTGTTTGTAAGTGCGTTACCGACACCTCTCTCTCCCTGGCTGCAGCTGAAGTGTGGCGGTCAGAAAGCCTCACGCTGCTGCTCAACGTTCGACAAGCACATAGTAACGCACAACCTTCCGTCCCCAGTAACGGTAACGGCGTTGCAACGGCGGGAAAAGTAATTCATTAGATTATTCCGTTACCTATAAGAGAACGCCGTTAGAAATGCCGTTATACTTAAACGGCGTTACTCCCAACACTGATCACAACCTAAATCAGAAAAAGGCAAACAAGCAGGATCGCTTGACATGGTTGACTTGAATTTTTGGGTTTGTCTTTTTGACCAAAACATTGACCTGAGTGTTGCCGTATTTAGCGACCGTTATACAGCAGAGCATTGGGTTTAAACGAAGCCCTTTCTGAATGGACTTCCTATAGAAAACGCTGTTTAAATGCATTGTGTTTACACTGATCTCGACATGTTTTCAGCTGCTCCATAACTAAATCTCCCCGCCATGTTTATGCCATTAACCGACCCCTGCATCTGCTGCCCAAGTGTGTATCAGGACACATTTTCTTGCTTAACTCGAACTGCCACCTTACTACTAGAACGTTCTTGAGCAGTCTTTTTGACGGCTGCGGTTTAAGGTCCGTGGAAGCTGCTTTCCGGAGTTTTCCCCTTTCAGAAGTTATGTATGATTGTCAGAAATCTGTAAAAGTGATTATCTCATCATGTAAAGTTATATAATGTAAGCAATACTTGCTCAGCACGCCCCCTGCCTGGCAGAGCTCCGTGCAATAGGAAACTGAGTGTCGACCAGAACTAACCAATAGCGTTAGACTGCTGCTTAGATGCTTCACATTTAAGGAATACCTCGGCTGATGCAGAGTTGATGAACTTTTCACGGACAAGAAAGTCTCTAAAATATAAATATATGAAAACACAACATGACATGAGACTAATACTCGTAAAACAACGTGTTTTAGCTGTTCGTCGGCGACAGAAGCACGTTTATAAGCAGAAACGTGAAGTCGCCATCTTAAAAAAACAGAGGAACAGCGTTTTTGTGTGATACGCTTGTTAGCCACTAGATGGTGCCATCGGATAAGAGAAATACTCCAGAAGGAAGCTTTAATTCACCTTCCAAGGAAAGAATTTCAGATAATATTTAATTTAGTTAACTAGTTAGTTTCAGAATCATAACCTTCCATACCATCAGTCTTTCTAACGTCATTTCATATATTTTCTAAGCCTCTTCCTTTATATTTTGTTATAAAAGACAAAAATAACAAAATTATGAGGAGAAGAAAGACTGATCAACTGCTGGAGATGCTCTTTGACTGGGTGGGTCTAAGTCTCCGGACAACACCAGGTTAGATGCCATGTTTCCTCTACGGGAACCCGTGCAGACAAAATGCATTTCCTGATTTTTAACAAATGGTTACAGAACCTTCATCATTCATAAACGTTGTTGTTTTACACATTTACCTCTTCACTCGTCAGTGATGAAAGGGAGTCTGACGTGCTTCTCATGGTGCTGGAGGTATAGCGCTCCCAGGGAGTTTTGACCCTAGTGGTCATCCGTAGGTAAGATCTCACTCGAACACAAAAATGCCGCGTGCTTGCTATGATTTAGGTATGTACTGCCCCATCACCAGGGGAAATAGCATTGTTACATTAATGAAACACAGTTTCAGGAAAACTCTGTAGGTTTTTATTTGATGAAATAATTAAACATCTATCCATTTTCGGCGGCTTATCTGGGGTCGGGTCGCGGGAGCAGTAGTCTAAGCAGAGGGGCCCAGCATTCCCTCTCCCCAGCCACTTGGACCAGCTCCTCCAGGGGAGTCAGTCGGGGTACACCCTCGACAGAGAGCCAGTCCATCGCTAAAATAGATTATTTGGTTCCTTAAATTCTTAATTAGTTGGATGAACGTGTAGCGGTCACACTTTATAGCGTGACGACTGCAAATTAATTATGACCAATAGGATGTAATGACTCCATATAAATATGAAATATCAATCTGATTGATCTTTGAATGTTTAATCAGAAGATTCTAGTTACTTTTACTTGTTCAGGGACCATAAACACACTTCGTATTAATGCAGACAGAGTCAGGTGTATAGTTAAAAAGGAATCTTATTCTTTTCTAAACTAATGATTATACATGACTAGATATGAGTAATGAGATATGATGGAGTGGATATGCGGTGATGGAGTGTGATGTGTAGGTGGTGTGATGTAAGCTAGATGTTTATCAGAATCTTTGTGTCTGAAAGAAATTGTGAAATCAGGTGTAAAAGAATCTGTTGTGTCTACAAACCCTGGCGGAGACCCCCAGCAGATCCGGACTGTAAGAAGTCGAGAGGACCTCACGGCACCGGGATTTCGTAAATTAAACTCCGATACGACCGTCCGGTCTTGAGATGTCTCCGGGTCACAACAGTAGCTGGAATGCTTGTTTGTGTCAAAGTGGGTGTGGCTCTAGGGAGCCGTCTGGCTGTGTCAGCTTGCAGCGTGCAAACAGGTTTTGACTGTATGTCTCAAGGATGCTTGTTCCGAACTGGCCGGTTCGGAACTCTGCTAGAAACTGAATTACTCGGGAAGTAATTCCCGTTCTATTAAACTACTTTGTTATGATTTCTGGCCATTCTGGCAAATTGGAATGTGCCATGTCTGGAAGGCTTTCCTCGGAAAGCCACGCCGTCCTCAGAGAAAAAGATGTTTTAACACTGAATGAGAATGTCTTGAAATGCTTATGTGAGGTGAATCTTAACCTTAATTTGTATCTTAATGTAATGTGCATGAGTGTAGATAATCAACTTGTTAAATCAAACACAGTGATTTGTGATAGAAATGGATCATTGAAAGAGCAATATTCATTTCTAATTCATTGATTTAAGCACAGCTTATTCAAACATTTGGTTTAAACATCTTGTTTATTCATCACATGATTATTTAACTTATAAGCTGTAAAGTCTTGTAGGATTCGTGTGGATTCACTTTTATTCAGAGTGAGGAATCCAGCAGTCGGACTTTTAGCAGAGAGAGAAGGCTTTTGCGGGAGACCTTGACAGTTTATTTACGTTGAAGAACAATAAGTGAGCAAAAGGTTGATCTGTGCGTCTGGATCCTCCAGCTGGCGTAACCTCATAAATTCTATGGTGAAAATTGACCCATTCGATTCATTACAAACATGACGGTGAGATTTTTGAACAGATTAGTTTTGGCCTCTGATCTACATCGGCGCAGTATGACAGCAACTCAGAGCTGGAGCACCACCTTTAGCTCTCACAGTGACATGCCACCACTCTCTGCTACTGTTTATGTAGCAGGCGGCCTAGCATGTCATGTTTTCTTTTCCGTGTCACAGTCCGAAGACTGTGTAATCCCCTGGGAGGGGGGGCCCTGTCTAAACACATAGCTGTCCCTGCAGAGGGGCCACAGCTTGGCCCCCAAACACAAACAAGCTGGGTTCCCTGGGAAAGTTTGGGGACAGGGTCCTGCCAGCCCCTCGGGGCTAATGGACTCACTGGCTCTGGTCAGGTATTTTAGAGTGACTTTGGGTGTTGATGTTGTGAGAAGGCGGCTGGATGTTTCAGAATGCGTCAGCAACAGTGAGGCTCAGAAAACTGCTGGATTGTTTGCAAAATGAAGGTCACACTGAGTTTGTATTTCTGTGTGATCTCCGTCCGTGCAGGAATTCACTCATCTTTTATGATTCAAGACAGAGGCCCCTCCCTGTTTCATCCCTTGTCTGATGCACAAGCAAATCCTCTCTGGGGAGGGAAGAATAAGAGCACCGAGGTGGTGGCACAGCGCTTTGAAGCTGCTATAATGTTGGCTTGCAGCTCAGACACTGTTACACAGACGCCGCCTCATCCTCGGGATGAATGAGTGCTCACAAAAGGGTCAAAGAGAGCACATTTTAGTCCTGAGAGCTGCAGGAGGGTCCGGAGCTGGCTGATTCTCCCGGCTCACAGCTTTTAAATACTTTATTTTTCTTTTGGTGCTTTTTGTTCAGACTGACTGAGCGTCACTTGGCCACTGATGTTCTCATGCAGCCAATATGAATTATGGCTGCTGAACTGATCTAAAGTTGCTGTTTATGTCTAATTGAGCAGTTGAATCTAAGTCCACTGTGCAGTGTTCCTGCTTTTGAAATGGAATATTTAATTATTTAAAACTTATTTTTTAAAGTTTTTCTGCTCTAAAAGGCAAAAGCATTAAATACTGCACAGGTGTGGGGTTAGGGTGAGGGTGAGGAGTCTCAGCATCTCATCATTAAGATGAACTGAGTGACAATAACATGCAACTGTGCAAAGTGTGTGTGTTATCTTCCTGTGTGTGTGTGTGCTGCTCAGCTCAGCTTTACGTGTGTGGCCCTTTAGTCGAGCCGTGTGCGTCCTCGGGGGACCGGACCTCAGCGCCGCTCATTGTAATTGTAAATGTGTGATCTGAGGCTCCTGTCTCTGCAGGCGTTTGTTCGCCAGGGTCCGAGCAGTGTTCATGACTCACACTCAACCTGTGAGAAACATCACAGAAGTTTGTCCCCGACCTCTTTTCTGTTCAGATCGCGCCGTTTTACAACCCCAAACACATTGTTCACAGTGGGTGGTGGTAGACAGACGGATGTGCCTTTTAAGACCAAAGGTGACAGATCATCTGCTGCTGTGGCCCCCAGACTCTGGACCTCTCTCCCCCTGAGCCTGAGATCAGTGGACTCAGTGGTCTCCTTTAAAAAGCAGCTGAAGACTCACTTGTTCAAGCTGGCTTTTGTATGACCTTCTTCACCACTCTCTCTTTATTCTGCTCTCCCCACCTATTCCACCTTCCTCAGGATCCACTGGTTTCCCTCTTTCCTGTTCACTCTCTCTCTTTCTTAACTTTTTAAAATCACAATTGTCTCTTTTTTGCTCATTTTAAATATATTTTTAAACATTTTCTAAATGCTTTTTTATTTTTTTACATTTTTTGTTTTTGTGAAGCGCCTCTGGATTTTTATCTTGAGAGGCGCTATAGAAATGATATTTTCTTCTTCTTCTAAAGCAGGGTCTCTCATGGGGTTGTTGCTGTGTTGTAAAAGCCGCTGAGCAGAACCCTCATCGCTAAATTAGCTGATTTATTAGCTCAGTTGTGCACAAAGAGAGGAAAGTTATTGTCTTGTGTTTGCTTGACTGAATCAAATCAAATCAAACTTTATTTATAAAGCACTTAATCTACAATACATGCAACTCAAAGTGCTTAACAAACTAAAAAGGCCCCATATCCTCCTGCACACACACACACACACACACACACACACACACACCCTCTCTGAAAAAAATGGATGGATAAAGAAACCATTTGATTGGTCCAACCATTAAATGCTTAAAATGTTTAAATTTTTTTAACTTTATTAGCCATCTTAAACTCTCTAAGGCCCAATCTCAATACTCACCCTTGCGCCCTTCATTTGCGCGTTCCCGGCCAGGGGTGCAAATGCGTAGAGTGCCCCCAACTCTCAAGTGTGGAAGTTGACCACGCCCTCATTGCACCCTTAATCTGCACTTCACCCAAGTCCGCAGCGATGCGGACCTCAGGCAAGGGAATTACCCACAAGTCATTGCTGCGGGAGAAAAGGATCTAGTTCCTTTTCTGAAATACGTATTTTCTAATGAAATGAGTTCATTTTAGGATGATTAGTTGATGCTCTGAATGTTTTAGACAAAGCAGCAATGAAGTTAAATTTATTTCAAATCATCGCTTTATTGTTTGTTTGAAAGATGTTAATAAAGGTTTTTGAAAGTTTCACAGCGACCAGCGTCCCGGCAGGCGTTGCAATCGATGACTCGATGCTCCCTGTCTCAATTCTGCAATTATCTGCACACTTGTGCACCAGGCACTCGAACCCTACTGCACACTTCTCCAAGTGCACTTTGCTGAAGACCGCAGGGCGAGTGTTGGGACTGGGCCCATGGGAGAATGGTTGAACTTTTTTAATTGTTTGTTTTTAAGAATGGTATTTAACGGGAATGGAAAAAAAATATCGAAACACTGAAATATCGTGATATTTCAGTGTTTTGATACTGAATCAAAATTTAAAAGCAATGTGTTGATTTTTTTCATGAGATTTGCATGCAAACATTTACTGTATTTTTGTGTGCGGTGCAATTCAAACTCTGACTGCTAGGTGGCAGCAGGCGTAACCGCCTTCCTTCTGACGGAATATGAGATCTCACGCTAACATGGCTTAGAAGTGTCGGGCCTGAAATTTCCTGTTAAATTCAGTCTTAAAACGTGCAAGTACCGTCTGGCTTTTAGCATCGCAGCATGTTTTATGGTCTCCCCGTATTGTGATGAATACCAAATCGCCTGGTTCTTACCAGTACACGCCCCTAGTTGTTGATGAACCCTTACATTTTGTTTTCTTAGCTAGAACTGCCTTGTCACTGAAAGCGTGTAACCCTCTCAGCGTGTAATCAGTGATATTATTGGGGACAGAATTGTTGTGGTCGTCTCTCCTCCAGCTCTCTTGTTAAAACTCTACGTGCAACATAAAAAACTCATTTTCAAGTGGGCAACTCTGCTTATTTCTGCTTCTTTCTGATGTTTCTTTTTCATCCAGATGTTTTCTTGATCTTTAAAGCTAATAGATTTTGCAGCGTGCCACAGACAAAACAAAGCTCTTTGCTTAGCCTTCCTTTAGCATCATGTCCGTCCTTCTGTGAGCTGTAGACAGAAGCGCTGCCGCCTCCTCCGCGGTCTCCTTCAGAAGATTTCCTGCTAAGATGAGTTAAAACAGCCAACGTCCGGTCCTTTTTGTCATATCTTACATTAGTAGACGTCAGCAGACTCAAAATCTCATAATTCTGTTCATTTTGAGTCTTCTTAGGGAGAAAAATCAAGTGGAAGCCTTTAGCGTCAGGTTTTAAGGTGGTAGAGTCTCTAGATCAGCTGTGATGTCTCGATCAAACCAAATGTGGAGTCAAAATTTAAGGAAACAGTAAGAAAAGCTCTCCAAAAATGCTTAAACCCAAATTTGTGGAAAAAAAACAACCGTTCTCGTAAGACGTTTACATTTATTTGTAATCATGACTGTGCTTGTTAAAGATATTTAGTGACTTCATTTTTGCATTCCCCAGGTGCCAGGAGGGATTTGTGGGAAACAGGTGCCAGTTTCATGACCCGTGCAACAACTCGCCGTGCATGAACGGCGGCACGTGTCGTGCCGTCACCAAGGTGCACACGGTGGACTTTAACTGCACCTGCAGTGCGGGGTACACCGACCGCCGATGCATGACGCCTTACAACATCGCCTGTCTCCGCTCGCCCTGTCGAAACGGAGGTACCTGCGAGCCAGAAGGCCTGCAGGCGTACAAGTGCCGCTGCCCACCTGGATGGACAGGTAACTCAGTCAATAGCTCAGTGAAGATTGGATCGCTTGGAACATTAATTCATATCATTTTCATAAGATTAAACACAGTTTCTCTTTGTTCTCAGGTAAAGACTGCACAAAAGCTGACCCATGTGCCTCAAACCCATGTGCCAATGGTGGGCAATGCTCCTCGTTGGAATCCATCTTCATCTGCACCTGCACGCCCTTCTTCTTTGGACAAACCTGCAAGCAGGATGTTAACGAATGTGACAAGAACACGCCGCTTTGCAAAAATGGCGGGCAGTGCATCAACGAGGTCGGAGGCTACCGATGTCAGTGTCCTGTGGAGTACACGGGGAAGCACTGTGAGAGCCGTTACCTTCCCTGCAGCCCATCACCGTGCCTTAATGGAGGCACCTGCATCCAGAAGGGAGAAACCAGCTACGAATGCTCCTGCGTGCCAGGTAACTTTCATGTAAATAATCAGTTCAGCTCCAACTGAACGATGGAGCGGGCGCGTCAACGCTGGATAGAAACTCAGAGGCCAGCAGTTTAGAAACAGCAGATTCAGACTGGAATCAACCTTTAACCTTGTGTCCCGCGTGTGTTCAGTAGAACAGACTTTATTGGTCCCACAGCGGGGACGTTCACTAGCCTGACTAAAGTCCGGTTGTTTGATTCCAGCCACAATCCAGACCATCAAGGTTCCTTGTCACATGATGTCATTTAAGGCTTGGCTTTTCCTGCGAATGTTTTGTCTTCCATTGGAGTCCACATGTGTGTGTGTGTGTCTCTGCTCTGGTGTGTATTGTGTTTGACCAGAGGGGAGCAGGAAGGCATCGGGGCTTATCATGAGGAAATGGTCAAGGGACAACATCCGCTTCACATGGTGGGGTGAGGGAGAGCTATCTGGGAGTAGGGTTCTTCCCAGCAGCCCACCATCGTCGTGCCCCCCCCCCCCCAGTGATCTTAGATGTGCTACATTTGTTTAGCAACTCTGTCCCATTTCAAGAGTAGAATACCTTCTTCGGGTCAGGAATCAGGTCCTGCTCCAGGTGGAGGAGTTTTAAGTATCTCCGTGTCTTGTTCACCAGCGAGGGTAAGATGGAGGTTTTCCAGGCACGTCCAACTGGGAGGAGACCTAAAGGTAGACCCAGGACACGCTGGAGGGACTACGTCTCTCACCTGGACAGGGAACGCTTTGGGATTCCCCCGGAGGAGCTGGCCCAAGCGGCTGGGGAGAGGGAAGTCTGGGCCTCTCACCTTAGGCTGCTGCCCCCGCGACCCGACTCTGGATGAGCGGATGAAAATGGATGGATGGATGATTTTTCTGCTCACGTTCTACAGCCATATTAAATAATTAATGACAGTTTTGAATGATGTGTTGCGTCTGGTGGGATTGCTTTGTAAGGGAGAGGCATGGACGTGTTGTACTGGCTTTGTTTCGTCTGTTATGCAACCCAACGTCTCACTTGTACAGTCGGGCGGTTGCCTCTTGTGCAACTGAGACGCAGGTTGGTGTTATAACATGGCAAGCCTACCACAGACCTCAGACGGGTGCAGCTGCCTTCTTTCTAGGGAAGGAAAAGGCAGTTGACCACATTTAACCGAACACCCGTGTTACCCAAATGTGTAGGCCAGCAGCAGGAAAAGAGATGGTAAACGTTTAGCTGTGAAGCGCCTAAGGCGGCCATGTTCCTTTTGTTGTTTACAGGATTTTCAGGGAAAATCTGCAACCACAACATTGATGACTGTCCGGGACACGAGTGCCAGAACGGAGGCACCTGCGTGGACGGAGTTAACACCTACAACTGTCAGTGCAAGCCAGAGTTTACAGGTTTGTAAAATATTCACTCAACAAAAAAATAAACACACTAAAGGTTTTATCTGCGATCTGGACAACAGCTGATTGTTTTTGTTAACTCCACAGGTCAGCTCTGCTTGGATGATGTCGACGAATGCCAGCTCATGCCCAATGCGTGCCAAAATGGTGGCACGTGCCACAACACGTATGGCAGCTACCAGTGTGTGTGTGTGAACGGCTGGACCGGTGACGACTGCAGCGAGAACATCGACGACTGCGCCAGCGCCGCCTGTTATCTTGGATCTACGTGTCACGACCGCGTGGCGTCGTTCTACTGCGAATGTCCTCATGGCCGCACAGGTGAGCGGATTCAGAGCGTGGTGTGAAGCGTGTGGCTTTATTCTTAAAACCTGATCCCGCCTTCTGGTTTTAGGTGAGATAAAGAGGGGCAGCAGCAGCTCAGGTGGTAGAGCGGGTTGCTTCATGATCGGAGGGTCATGGGTTCCATTCCAGCTCCCACCAGGGGTATCCTGCTGTTGTGTCCTTGGGCAAGACACTTCACCCAACTTGCCTGTGTTAGTGGTGGTCAGAGGGGCCGACGGCGCCAAATGGCAGCCTCGCCTCTGTCAGACCTCCCCAGGGCGGCTGTGGCTACAAGTAGCTTACCATCACTAGCAGTGTGTGAATGTGAGAGTGCGTGAAAGCATCTTTGGGTGTCTAGAAAAGCGCTATATAAGTTCAATGAATTATTATTATTATTATTATTATTATCATTATTATTATTATTATTATTATTATTATTATTATCATTATTATTATTATCATTATTATTATTATTATTATTATCATTATTATTATTATTATCATTATTATTATTATTATTATTATCATTATTATTATTATTATTATTATCATTATTATTATTATTATTATTATTATTATTATTATTATTATCATTATTATTATTATTATTATCATTATTATTATTATTATTATTATTATTATTATCATTATTATTATTATTATTATCATTATTATTATTATTATCATTATTATTATTATTATTATTATTATTATTATCATTATTATTATTACTATTATCATTATTATTATTATTATTATTATCATTATTATCATTATTATTATTATTATTATTATCATTATTATTATTATCATTATTATTATCATTATTATTATTATTATTATTATTATTATTATCATTATTATTATTATTATTATCATTATTATTATTATCATTATTATTATTATTATTATTATTATCATTATTATTATTATCATTATTATTATCATTATTATTATTATTATTATTATTATCATTATTATTATTATTATTATCATTATTATTATTATCATTATTATTATTATTATTATTATTATTATCATTATTATTATTATTATTATTATTATTATCATTATTATTATTATTATCATTATTATTATTATTATCATAATAATAATAATTATTATTATTAAGTGTTCTAGTGACCCAAACGCATGTAAAACTTGTACGTAACTCATCCATCTTGTTTCCGTGTGTGTCTGTTTCAGAGGGTAAGGGGGGTGATGATGTGTAACTGTTTAGTGTGACAGTGACCGTAATCCTCTCAGAAGCATAAATCAGTATCGGCAAAATCGGTTATCAGCCATAACAGTGATTTTATTATCTGATATCGGTATCGGCCCAAAACCTTCCTATCGGTGCGTCCCTAGAACGAGTGTATCTTCATTATCTCAGTACTTAACTCAGTTCACTTCTGTGGAAAATGGCAGACTCGGCAAGTCCAGCAGCTGCTCCTGAGCCCAGAAGATGTCGTCCTTCTCCGAAGAGGAGCGACCATGAAATATGTAAAACCAGCGAGAGTTTAGGTGAAGCCTACTACTGATGGAGCCAGATTTAAAACAATCACGTATGGGCAGCGAACCTGGTATGCTGATGGCTGGAAACCTTGTTCTAGCACTGCAACTACAGCCTTCGCACACTAGATGCCGCTTTGGTGTTCCTGTCACATATTCCACCTTTAATTTCATCAGCCTGATCGATAAGACGATGTATTTGTGACTTATAAGTGTCAGGCGGTGGTATTTATTGTTCCGGCATTGTTTATAGGCTTATATGGCGCGGCTGCCATAAAGCCAAGGAAGTCAACGGTAGAGATCGGGTTAGGGTTAGGTGCCAGCTGAGTGTCGTCACGCCAGTCGGAAACTGACTGATGGAAACTGTCATCGGTTTGATGGCATCGCCTCTAAATATTAGGTTTACCTTTGTTCAAAATGTGATTTTGTAAAATAAAAAAATGTCTCTCATGTTGAATTTTACTGAAAGTAAGAAAAACTTTAAAAGCAAATTGTTTATTCTCGTGAGCATTAGGCGCGCGAGACTTCAGGGTTGGATCCTGTAAACGGGATAAACGGCGTTCCCTTTTCTCCAGGTCTGCTGTGCCAGCTGAAGGATGCCTGCATCAGTAACCCGTGCCAGCGAGGTTCTAACTGTGACACCAACCCCGTCACTGGAAATCATTTCTGCAACTGCCCTCAAGGATACGTCGGTCCTTCCTGTGATCAGGATGTTGACGAGTGCTCACTGGGTAAAAATGACTCCGCGTAACCCTGCCAGCTCTTTTTCTGCCTGTCCAGCTGCCATGCCCCGTGTCTAAACTCACCACGCGTGATTCTGACGCGTGCATGAGCCAAAATGTCAGCTAATTCTCGTGTGTTATTATAGTACTTTGTACACATACAGGTATTACAGGTAATAATTCCCTGTGAGGTGTTATTGTTGTAATCACTAAAGGGAGTTCAGCTTTTACGATGAACCCTTCTGAACACGTTGTAATGGTTTCACAGCGAAGCCGCTCCTGTAGAGGTGGAGGAAGTGAAATGGTACCATCTCTCTGTTTGAACAGGTTCCAACCCATGTGAGCACGCAGGGAAGTGCATAAACACCAAGGGCTCGTTCCAGTGCAAGTGTCTGCAGGGCTACAAGGGGGCTCGCTGTGAGACGGACGTTAACGAGTGCCTGTCCAACCCGTGTCAGAACGAGGCCACCTGCCTGGACCAAATCGGAGAGTTTCAGTGTATCTGCATGGCAGGTGAGAAGGTCGTCGTCTCATAGACCCGTACCATATGGTGCACGTTGGAGCTACAAGGCCCGTTTCTACTACTGGTTTATTTTACTGGATCTTCACAACGCGGTGCATGACCTCTCCATTGCACCAGGTCAGCCCAAAAAGTCTGTTTTCGGGGCCATTTCAGACCGACCACCTGAACCGGGATGTGTAGTCGTCGGGCAGGACTCGTGCTTAACTCACGCCGATTGTTTGAGATGATATCAACAGCTGTCGCCAAACAGCCACCACTTGTAAAACCGAAAGAGTTGCTGCTGGTGCAAAATGGAAGAAAAAGAAAAAACGCAGCGTTTTGAATCCACCCACCAACGGTGTAATTTTAGCCACATGTGGTCTCCTACAGAGCGCTGAAACAAACAGCCTTTTATGTCACATAGCCTCTCTCCTGGTTAGGGTTAGGGTCCTGAATGGATTAAATTATGGCATATGACAGAATAATGTTTCTGAATGTGATTAACTCATTCACTGCCAGCGTTTCTCACCGTTTTTACTGTTTTTTAAGAGTGACAGAACGTTGCGCGCTAGCATGATGTCAACGCCAAAACTACCAAAACAAAGAGGAGACTCGCCTCTTACATCAGGAAGAATCCGCACGTTTCGAGCGTTATCCGTTCTTTCATAATCCGTTGTTGAATTGTGATTGGCAGAAGCTTTTCCGGTTCACGCCTCACTTTTTTTACAGGAACGGCCCAAAACGATCTCCTAACACATGGATGTTCTGCTTCCTGATCACGTGACGTGCGACGTACGCGGATGAAGATCGGCTTCAGGGCTGAGATGTTTGTTTTCGCTGTGTGGGGGCTCGTCCGACGCCCACACAGTAAAAACATGCAAATGTCGACTTTAGTCGTCATTGGCAGTGAACGAGTTAAAGGGATACTAGGCAGTTTTGGCTCGCTTTTAGCACCCCCTAGTGTTCAGGTAGAGCAACATTAGAAGCAAAAGTAAAACTTATCTCCTCGCTGTGTTTGTCTTTTTTTAGCATATTAATCTCACAGCTGAAATGTCTCCCCAGCCTTCATTAGTGTCTACAGGAGTGATTCATCTCTAAATCAACCACATCAGCTGTGTTCATGATGTAAAACATACTGGAAACAGATCCCAGTGCCAGGCGTGTCAGCTCCACTGTACTAAGTCCAACAGGGACCGGATTGCCACTCTGAAGTTGCAAGTGTGATTTTCTGGCCACAGAGGGCGGTGGGGGTCTGGGTGACATTTCATTAACCCTCTTAAGGGTCGCTTTAGCA